TTGTTCTGTTCTGTTCTGTTCTGTTCTGTTCTGTTCTGTTCTGTTCTGTTCTGTTCTGTTCTGTTCTGTTCTGATCTGTTCTGTTCTGTTGTCTTCATTTCCATTCTCTGTCCATTCGTCTCCTTTACTTTATCTTTCTTTTCTCTCTTCCGTCTCTTAGCTTCAAACTTCAATCTCTCCAGCTAAATCTTAGCTTCAATCAATATAATACAATAAAACACTATTGTCCTAATACTAACTGTATATGCATTTTACATATCAGGCTGTCATCGCAGGTGGTAACCTACCCTTTGGTCTCTCAGTGATGCTGATCACAAACACCGTGGGCATATTTTCCGTCCCACCATTTTTAAAGTGGATGACGTCAATCGATAGTGCTGACGTCAGTATCAAGGGGTTCGCAATGCTGATGGGAATGTTCTTGCTGACTGTTATATTACCAGCAATGGTAAGAGTATTGGCCAATCCAAGGTTGCGCGGAAAACTGGTAATGAGTAGGACGCTTACTGAATGATGGGTCTGTCTAAGGGGACGCCATTTGTTTTTTTCGTTTTGCAGGTTTTAGCAACCCAGAGCCTGCGTTTCTTTGGGCCTGCGGCGAAGAACTAGAGCTCTGGCATAATCCATTTTTTGGCGTTCTGTTTACTCCCGACAAAATCAAAATCAAAATTAGAAATCGGGARCATATTTTATCATTTTTGGCAAGTCTTTGAACGCATGCGCTATTATACCAGAAGTCCAAGAAATCCTGGTCTCAAAAACTGATGATTATGCCAGAGCCCTCATTCTTCACCGCAGGCCAGAAGAAACGCAGGCTCTGGGTCTGAAGTCTTAGTTTTTGAATCGAGTCATATTGACTTTGGTTTTCGGTCTGTTTTGCTTATTAGCGTTACGCGATGTTAAAAGGGGCGTGCCTAAAACATTCTCATCATTCAATGTGCATGCTACTCGTCAAAAGGTTTCCGCGCATCTCGGAAAGACCAATAAATTAGCATTATGTTTATGATAATTTATAGGGTTTGGATAGTTATCTCGCAACTAACTCTTACTTTATTTTGTGAAGACCCTGTTGTGGACGTGGTTTTCACAGCCAATTGAAATATATCCTATCCACTAAAATCAATGACACACGCACGCCGTGCCTTGAGAAGCCATTTAAGTGTTGTCATTCCATACCTTAACTAATCACTGGGTCTATACGCCGAATCGAAATATGACGACCAATTTGAATACACCTATTGTTTTGGACCGACCAGTCTCGTGTTCACGTGTAGACATAGTGAGCGTTGAACAATAGTTATTCAAATTGGTCGCCATATTTTCGATTTGGTGTATGGGGAAGCCATTCTAGTGTTCTCTGTCCCTGTATTGGCATCATTCCGTTCCCAGTGCCTCTGAATGATACAGGGCGGTGGGAGTGATGATAATTATGGCGTATGCTAACTGGATTAACTATAGCCAAACCCTGTTAACACAGATGGACACACACGCATGGGAAACCTTACAGAAAATGTCTGTATTTTTAGCGCATGTTTGGAAAACTGTGCGTGCTAAAAACAAGGCGCACCTAAGCCAATTTGATGTCCTTTAAGCTTGGGTTTCACTAGCGACTGATGCAAGAAGACAACTCCAGACTAGTATATTTTCTTACTAAGAAAAGAAGCGACGCAAGCGCAAGAGAATAGATTTTGTTTTTCTTGCGTTTACCGGCTTGCGCTTGTGAGAAGCATGTTTCAAAGCGTACCAACAACACACACCAAACTCTCACTAACTCCAATATAGTAGTTACGAAGGTGCAATGATCTTGTAGGTAGGCAAGGCAATCCGTGTCATCCCCAAAGTACCAGACCACATCGACGCGCATCCTAGAATCCTTCGTTACGTCATCCTCGTTTTGTTCATCCTATCAACATGGCCGATGGTCAGTAAGGCTCAAGCAGACGACAAATATGGCAACATCGTAGCCATGAATACCATGGCGATACTCGGATTCACTACTATCATGCACGTGATCTTCCTTCTCTTGAATTGGGTTTTCTGTGCTATTCTCAATCTGGAGCTGTCAATCAAGAAGACAGTGGTGATCCTGGGTAGTCACAAGGCTGTTGCGTTTGCATTGACTGTTATCGGGTTTCTACCCGATTCTGCGGGATCGCGGGATCTGATGGGACTTGCTTGTGTAATAGCCTACCTCGTGGTTCTGGCTATTGATTCGTTGATCGTTTCGAAGCTGGCGACAGTCGAGGAAGATCCAATTGAACATTTATTCACCGAGAAGGAGATTTATAGAAAGCTGTCCATGGGAGAATAAAGAAACGCCTTGGGTACCCTGTGTTCATACCCATTACACCCTCCCCTCCCCCACAAAAAACGAAAACAAAAATAATAAGAATGTTCAAGGGAAGGGAGCGATGAAAGATTTAACTTTGCATTTATTTTGGTCGAAAATTTAGGGTAAAATTATATTATTTTTTAATGAGACACTCGAGCGTCTACTGGGTTAAGACCCGTTTACACTAGCGATTTTTTTACGATTTTTTTACGATTTTTTAACAATTTTGTCCATAATAAATAATGGTAAAGAACTTACTTGTAAAGTTTTTTTCAGGATACCAAGATTTTCCTAGACGAATGTTTCTTTTGAAGGATGAGACAAAAGATTTCATATTTCCGAAAATTGCCACAAAAATTTCAGCAAAAATCGCCAGTGTAAACGGGGCTTTAGGAATTTAAAACGTTTTAATCTAGTGTGGGTAAAGCTCCATAAACCTACTCGCAAGGCATAAACTGAGAAGCCTACTTCGACGAGTGATACGGCGTCCATCTTCCCAGGGTGCGAGACAAAACAAAAATGACGGAAAATATATAAAGTTTCGCGCATTTGTCTTTCTTTATGGGTAAAGGTGATCGATGAGCCGTCTTAACTCTAATTGTTGTATTCTCTTGTGGTGAGCTGTTAATATCGTCAATGACGACAAATACTGTAACGAAGCTTTATTTGCACCCTGGACGCCCCAAAATGCCTTGGATCCAAGATACCCGCCGCATGGTCGAAGTAGTCTATCCAATGTCAGGGCGGACATACCGTGTGTTAGGGAAACGGATAAAGAGAAAACAAATCCTCAACAAAAATTATGAATGAATAAAAAATATTCTCACAGAATTCTGTACTGCGATTGACGAAAATGCGTTTAAATTTTGGGTATGTAATCTAAGGTTTATAATATGAAATAGCTGTTATAAAGAGGACACAGCACGCACGCGCACTTTCAGTGACGTCATTCTTATCTAAAATAACGGTTATTGTAATTTGTATTTTATAAAAGAATTATAAAACTTGCATGCTGTGCTCTGTGCTGTGTGGAGTTATAAGCACTAGGGGATTGGCATAACACACGAGAAGTGTCAGAAGCACTCCGCTACGCGTCATGCTTCTCCTAACACTTCTCTCGTTTTCTGCCAATCCCCGCGTGCTTTATGACTGCACACAGCACGCGCGCGCGTTTTCTATTTCTTCGATAAATTTCTTGTGATCGCTGCCTTATTGCTTCGTCGGAGGCATTTCTTCGGCCGAGAACATTACGTCACGGACACACAATGAAAGTTATCTCGGCGTAAATAGACCTTTTTATTCATACGGAGGCCATCTTGAATTATGCGATGGCGAGTGGCCAAACATGTAGAACATTTATGAAGCATAGCGTAGTAGGGGTTATGTTTTCGAATAATCTGGAGTCTTGGTGTTTCGCATATTATTCCAACTACTAGCAAATTTAATTGCTTTTAAGATGTGCTTCTCATTGAAAAGAGTAAAGTTATATGCAAAGATAGCCAGACAGCTGTGCGGTCTACAATTTTTTTAAATATTCGCCCCATCGGCATCCCATAATGTCTTATTTGTAACAATGTAATTCAAGATGGCCGACGTATCAGTCAAAATGTAATTTATTGACGCATCATAATACAGCCTCCGTCTATGCAGTTGCATCCTCTACGAAGCTTAAGGACGCATCCTATACTAGACTTAAAAACATTCCGCTAATATCACCAATCGAAAACAAAATTTTATAATTCAAATATTTAAAGCTTTAAGTGAATAAAAAGTGATATGATAAGCTAAGTATTTTCAATGGAATATCCCTGCACGAAAAGCCGAGAGAAAAGGTTAGGCGTTTTGCATTGGAATTCTTGTTAAGGCCTGCGTTTTTATGGCGACATTATAAAATAACTGTTATTAATCTCCCGTTCTGATTGGTTGGAAGCGCGTGCTTTRTGAGAGCACACAGCACGCGCGCGCACTTTCAGTTGCATCATTCCTATCTAAAATAACGGTTATAGTAATTTGTATTTTATAACAAATAAAAAACTTGCTTGCTGTGCTGTGTGCAGCTATAAAGCACTTGGGGATTGGCGGATCACTCGAGAAGTGTCCAGAAGCACTCCGCTACGCGTCTCTCGTGTTCCGCCAGCCCCCGCGTGCTTTATAACTGCACACTGCACACGCGCGCCTTTTCTGTTTCTTCATTGCGTAACCGCTAAGTACTCGAGAGCTGTCAGGATGCAAGGGAAATGCCCTCTAATAAAACGCGCTTTACTTATGTTGTTCAGCTGTCTAATATAGTTCCTTTTCTTATCTGGTAAATACCAAATAAGAAAACCTCTTGGAGCGTGCACTGGGTAGCCCAATATGCTGGTATGCTGGTGCTTATTTAACACTTAACCTTACTTTGGAACATTTTAGGTGTATTTTTCTTTACCTTTATGACTTAAGACCCATCTGCACAGGTCTAACCTCGTTTAAGAGTAAAACATTCACGAAAGTCCAGCTGTAATGTAAAGAATGTGCAAGTTAAACTACACCAATGTTTTGAAATCCCACACACTTTTAATGCTATCTGCAAATAGCTGATTTAAACGAGGCTAAGCCTGTGCAGATGAGTCTGTGGTATTCAAAGACAGTGGTATGCATCGAATGCGAAAAATGTTGTATTGCGCGATAACATTCTCGATATTTCACTCGATATTGTTACCTCCACACATCAATGCAGAAAGGAGAATTCCAAGAAACACTCCCATAAAACGGATTCAAAAAGGAAGGTTAATTGAGTAATGTGCCAGTATCTCTTGTCTTTCTAGCTTATACAGAGGTATTTGACGCAAATTAAGGCTATTTTGTTGCGCAACACAAGGAAATTTTGTTTGCTCGACTGTAAAAAACGCGCAGTATAGGAAAAAAAAAAAAGATTGGGAAAATAAATTAATATAAAAACTATGAATTTTCCTAAATTTTGGATTTAATGAAAAACAATTACAACTTACTTACGTAACCTTAAATTAGGGGTTTTGGCTTCTTCGCAGAGAAGGAAGAAATAAAAGATTTATTTTCAATGAATCGATTAAAAAGACAATATTATTGTCAGTATTGTGTGTTGCTTACCAGGGACCCTTTTAAAATGGATAGTGCTTTCACAGGTTTATATGCATTGTTATTTTAGCGCTTTAGAGAGTAAGATGAACTGAAGGAAAAAAGGAAGGAAGGAAGGAGAGAAAGGAAGGCAGACAGACTGAAAAAAGAAAGGAAAAAGTGTGAAAGGAAAAGAAGAGGGAAGAAACAAAGGAAGAAAGAAAGGAAGGAAGGAAGGAAACAAGGAAGGAAGGAAGGAAGGAAGNAGGAAGGAAGGAAGGAAGGAAGGAAGGAAGGAAAAAGAAAGAAAGTGAAAATTTTACAAGTTTTATGTTACGTGAAGTCCAAAACGTGCTGAGTAATATAGGCAAGCGTCACAGCCTATAACGTACCCCTAGCGCACGGTTCACCCATATTATATATATATAAATTTACGTTAAAGTTGACCTTTTTAAGAAACGTTGTTTTCAAGATCGCCCTGAAAGTTACCCTCCTCTGAACCTGTACCACCTCAATCAGAAGAGATTCTCACAATTCCTCTACTTCGCTAGGCGTTGGATTCCTTGACCACTTGCTGTAGCCCGGCTGGATCGCTCGAAAGTATAACACATCTGATATGACTTTATTCTGGTAATAAACATATAAACATCATTTGGCTATAATTAGTAGACTACTATTTCTCATACTCATTAATAATTCATGAGCAAACCAACCAATCAATGGGCTATTTTTGGGTCACATGATGTTACTTGAAACCTGGTAAAGTGCTGTGAAAGGAATGCATTCAGTCTGTAGTAACTGGAACAAAATAAACTCAGTCCTAGGACTAGTTACTCTAAGTCGAATAATAATGAGTATGAGAAGTCATATAATGTATAGCAGGAGTAAGGAGGTCAGTATACTTCTATTTCAGAAAACGTTGAATACCGATACCCTCCTTAGTTACCGTTGGGAGCCGAGTGGTTTTAGACCCGATAAAACACGATCTGCGAGTTTATTAAACGGCTTAAAAAACTCATGATGTATGTTCTCATATTGTACCAATTCTTTACGAAATGTCCCTCAAGCTTAATATATTATCTAGAATATCTCAGAATTCAAAACTCTGACTGCAAAAAATGAATCATAAATTGCTTAAATCTCTTTATGTCCTGAGAAAATAAAGGAAAATTGCCTTGTAATCCTTGTAGTAATCTTTAAAACAGATACTGCTGTGTAGTTGTTCGTGGGGCAAGATTTTAATTCCACTGGGAAAACTGCTGCAACGGTGATTGGTTCACTATTGTCTCATTCGGACCAAGAGAATATTGTCTTACTTCATATTCTCTTGGTGGGAACCAATAGTTAACTCCCTCTATTAACTCCCCTCTATTAACAATGTTTAAATGCACTATTCAGTATGCAACAGTATGTATTCTGTATTCAAAATTGTTTTGAAAATAGCTGTATACATGACCCATATGTATAACGACCAAATTTGAATAACTAATCATAATAATAATTCAATAATAACAAATTTTCAATTTATATTGCGCAATAATTAATACTGATGCTAAGATTTTCTATTGCGCATAACTATTATTCCGAAATGACTAGTCTTGTGAAAACTCTTTTATGTTTCCAAGTAGAAAACGCGCCGTTATAGTACTTTTGACGACTTCGGTCTTGAAGTTCACCAAGATTGCACAAACTATTCTGTATGAGTGACGTTGAAGCCAGTAAAATGTTTCAAAAGCCTCACTTCAGATAAATAGATTTTTTTCTTTTAGAAAATCGTAATTTACTCCTTCAGTTTAGAGGCAACTAGTTTTACAAAACTAAACTCCAATTTTCTGAGCCATTTCTGAACAATTTTGAGTAACAAAACACTCGTTTTGGCCCTTTTGACTTCAAACTCACAAAGTCGGTACAAAGTTTATGTAAGATGAATAAATTATCTCTGTGAGTGACGTTGAAGCCAGCAAAATGTTTCAAAAGTTTAAGAGATAAATAGATTTTTTTCTCTTAGAAAATCGGAATCTTCTTCTCCAATTCATAGGAAACTAGTTTTAGAAAACTAAATTCTAATTTTCTGTGGTGTTTTCGAATTATTTTGAGAAACAAAACACACATTTTGGCCCTTTTGACTTGAAGCTCACAAAGTTGAAGTTGAAGCCACTAAAATGTTACAAGAACTCTTTTCAAAAAAAAATTGATGCCATATTTGAACTATTTCAGAAAGAAAACACACATATTGGCACTTTTGACTTAAAGCTCAAGAAGCGTTTGACGGTGAATAAGTTTTGGTTACTTTACGATCAAGAGAAGCTAGCCATAGGGAAATGAGTACCAGATTTCATAATTTTTTTCAAGGACATTCTCACCTTGAAATTACTCCACTCTTTTACTTTCTCTTGTTCAATGTATTCCTTTTCAATTTCCTCCTACAACACCAAGCGTACAACAATCAAACTGAGTGGTCAAAATAAACATTCTGACATTCATTTTCAATTCAGCAACATATACAAGCATGTGAACGAAGGATTTTGTTCTCAAGAGAATGACACGATACGGGGCGGATCCAAAGGTGGTAATACTTTCACTCGTTTCACTTGAAGCTCTCAAATTTTATTTCCGCTTCTTTTGAAACGCCATATTTTACCATTTTCCCGCCTTTGGGTTTTCTATGGTATTGGCGCGAGTTACCCTGTATTTCAAAGTCAAGTTCCTTTTTAAAACTGTGCATCTGCAAAATATTTCTCCCAAACAAATAAGGCGTGATGGTTTTGTTCTAAATTCTATGTACGTGGGTTTATTCAAACATGAATTCTACGATACCTCTGTCGTACTTGTCTCCATTTCAGAGTACGACTGAACCAACAGTGACTTGGTCACTTCATCTAAATCTGTTATCAAAATAAAACGTCATTTATCACACTATCTCATAGAATAAATGTAATAAATCTCGCGTTCTGATTGGTTGGGAGCGCGTGCTTTATGAGAGCACAAAGCATGCGCGTCCATTTTCAGTTTTTTTTATCCCTATCTAAAATAAAGGTTATCGTAATTTGTACTTCATAAAAGAAATAAAAACTTGCTTGCTGAGCTGTGTGGAGTACTTGGGGATTGGCAGAACAAAGCGCGCGCGTGCGTTTTCTATTTCTTCAATACCACTTACGCCACGTCCACACTTTTTGTTACAAAACGCATGCTTTCAGATGTGCTTTGTCTTTGCGTCCACACTAAAACTACCGAAAACGCATACTTTGAAAGCGCTCTCTCCAGAGTGGAGTCATTTGAAATTAGAGATCTATCATATTAATGTGGACAGCGAAAACAGTGGTTTTAAAAAACGCTGGCGTCGACCACACCGGCACCTCTGTTTTTTCGCATGCGCAGATGATGATATTGTAACATGTACAATCGTATATCTGCGTTTTTTTGAAAACGCTATAAAAACGCGCTCTTGTGGGCACGAAGCTTATGATGCGTTTTCGGAGAGACAAAAACGGAGCATTTGGAAAATGCATTAATTTGTACGAGGCCTTAATCAGCCAGTAATTGCTGCACAAGGCATTGCTATAGGGGTGAAAGACATGCGATAATGTGCGCGCTAATGATTGGTTGGTTTGTAGAGTGCTCTATGCAGTGCTTTGATGCTGCCGCAATATCTGACAAGTAATTGCTAGAAGAATGTTACTGTGAAAACAACAACCATATGGCGCTGTTCTTCATACTTACCATATACATCAAGGGTGGATATTGTACCCATCACTACCACTGAATCAGTAATCACCCCACAAGGCATCACACTATTCTTTATACTTACCATATACATCAAGAGTGGATATTGTACCCATCACTACCATTGAATCAGTAATCACCCCACAAGGCATCACACTATTCTTTATAACTGTTGTCTCTCCAAACGAGTCCCCAGGCCCCAAGCGACCAATAATGACCTGCTTGGTACGTTTTTCCTGGAACGAGAGTCAAGCGTATTGTCCAACCACCAGAGAATGAAATGATAGCAACACAGTTCATAACAACTCCTCAATAAACCTCCTCACCTCGGGTATGACCACGCTATTCCCTTGAGTATCATTTCTTTGTTTAACGGTTGTGTATGTGAAGAAATATGAATAATAGATGGACACAACTCAAACAAAGAATATTATTCTCAAGAGAATGACACGTGGTCTGAAATGGGAAAACATTACGCCCAAGGTACGGAGATCTATTCTATAGACCCTGTCAAAAGATCTGGAATTGGCATTCATCGTGTTGGATTTTGTGGAGGGAAGAAACCTGAGAATCCAAGATCCAACAAACCATGTGATACTGAGTCCGCTATGCTAGCCTTGACTTCAGCCTTTACAGTTCGAGTCCCGCTGGACACTAGAGAAAAACGTTTGCGCATGCGTGCACTTCAGCACGTTTTCTAAGAATTTTGAAGAGTTTGAGTGAGAAAATAAATGTTTGTTTTCTCCAAGTATACAAAAAAGTTCGAGAGTATACTTTTGTCAGACCAAGATACTGTATTAACAAACACAATATGAAAGAATTAGCCTTAACTTTCAAGCATGGACACTAAGTTTTGGCATTTTGTGTAGTCCAATTTATCAGGCATGTTTGAAAGTCAAATTTACTTATGTTTTGACTAATTTGCATACGAATTCGGAGCATGCGCAGACGTTTTTCACTCATGTCGTCCCGCTGTGGCCACTAGCTGAGACTGTATTTGTTCCGATTCCTGATTAGTTCAAACTCAGTTTCTAGACCATGCTTGTAAATAGCCAATTGGTTTGCCTCCTTGCCAGTTGGGATTCTTAACACACTTTATGTTTATTTGATTATTTCTTCATTTCAGTTTTATTTCAGTGTCCCCAATTAGCTGCATAAACTAAATACACCGACACTTAAATAAAGTTATCATTTATTATTATTTATTATTAGGATATCAATGCTTTACCTTCTTTCCGTCAGGAAACGTGTGCGCTACTGTAATCATTCTCTTGAGTGAACAAAACCCTTTCTTAATAAAACCAATGACCTCACACCTGTCGCCTTCCTTAACCAGCACTATCACCCGGAAGAAATGAAAAAACAACCTTTAATATACGTTTTATTGACGGTTTGTTCAGCAGGTAAAATGCGCACTATTAGTAGGAGGTTTGGATAAGTGAAGGCAGTTCACATATTTCAAAAAGAGTGTATTTTATTTTGTTCTTTGTCATCTGTTGTTACTTTTAATCATTTATTACACAACCAGACAAAACGCAACTATTTCTATATTTTAATTAAAAAACTAAGATTCTTAGGGCTTTTAAAAAGAGATAAAGAAAGAAAGGAAAGGAAGTAATAGAAAGAGCAATTGAAAAAATGGAAGGAAGGAAGGAAGGAAGGAAGGAAGGAAGGAAGGAAGGAAGGAACTGAATAGTAAGACGAGGAAATAATAAAACCACACACTTTCATTTTACATGCGACGATTTTTAACGCAAAATTATTGCTAGTTTGTTGCGTTCAAATTTGGACTCTTGCATCGCGACGCGCGCGGCAAAACAAATGGATGACGAAAATATTGTGAGCTTTTGAAGGTCGTTAAAAAATCTTCAACATTGTAAAAAATCGTTACCGCGCGCCATGTTACACGAGAACGATTCTTGCGCCACAATGGTCGTTACGAATCGTCTCGTGTAAATCCTCCGTAATCTGGCACTAGTTCCTCCACTTCTAACCCGGGGGGGGGGGGGGGGGGG